TTTGGAGCCCCAACTTTCTTACAGATAGAGGCCTGGAACATTCTACCTTCTGCTAATCCTGTCATCTGCACAAAAAGCCCTTGGCAGCGGGCCTCCCAACCCCCTTTGATGCTGTGGCTATATGTCCAGGCCAGGTGGCCAACTGGGATTTGAACCAGCACTTCCTGCTATGTGCTTAGGGAATTTAGAAAGTGGAACACAAGCCAAGGAGGGGCAGTGCTGTGAGGAGACGGTACATGCCATGTAGCAAGAGCAACATTCACTGGAAGGCTGGAAAGTAAGAGATGTATTTGAGTAGAGCTCACAGTTCTGGGCAGGCAGCACGGTGGTGGTGGTGGTGGTGGAAGGGCACGTCATGCCAGACACCAGGTCTCCCTGTGATTGGGTTTTAAGGTCCTCTAGGCAGCGATCCTGTCTCATCTATTTGCACTGCCAGGGCACCCAGTGCAGTACACTGGGAATGGATGCACGGAGTGCAGGGACAAAGTTAGCCTCCTGTCCCAGTGTTCTTGATCTGGATTTCTTCTGCCCCTATCAGCATTTGGATCTACAAAATGATCTGTCTTGACTTCCTACCCTGTCTGTGTTAATTTTCTATTTCTGCTGTAGCAGGTTACCACAAACTTAGAAGCTTGAAACAACACGAATTTACTATTTTATAGTTCTTCAGGACTTTTAAAAATTCCCTTTTCTTTGGTTTGGCTGTGGGTGTGGGTGTGTGGGGGCATGCAACGTGCCACAGTGCTTCTGTGGTGGTCAGAGGACTCCTGTCATGTGAGTCCCAGGGATCAAACTTAGGTCACACCAGTCTTGGTGACAAGTGCCTTTATCCACTGAGGCCTATTTTTTTTTCAATTATTTATTTTTTTATTTTTTAAATTTTTTTATTTTATGTGTATGCACGTATTGCCTGCATGTAGTAAGGGCACCCGTGTTGTGCAGTGCCCGTGGAGGTCAGAAGAGGCATTGGATCCCCTGGGACTGGAGTTAGGAACAGTTGTTAGCTGCCATGTGGGTGCTGGGATTCGAACCTCGTCTTCTGCGAGAACAACCAGTGTTCTTAACCGCTGAGCCATCTCTCCAGCCCCTATTTAAATATTTTTATTATTTTTATTTTATGTGTATGAGTGTTCTGTCTGCATGTAGGTAAGTGCACCCGTGTCATGCAGTTCCCATGGAGGATAGAAGAGGCTGTTGGATCCCCTGGAACTGGAGTTATAGACAGTTGTTAGCTGCCATGTGGGTGCTAGGATTTGAACCTGGGTCTTCTGCAAGAACAACCGTGTTTTTAACTGCTGAGCCATTTCTCCAGCCCTGGCCTATTTTTTATAGCTGCTGCATTGAGAAGTTTGCAGTAGGTCACACTAGGCTTTTACGTAGCATCAACAGGGCTGACTGCCTCTAAGGTGACTCTGTTTACTTGTCCTTTCCAGCTGCTGAGGGCCATCCTCATCATTGACTCTTGGCTCCCTTCCTTTTTCAAAGGCAGTGACATCTTTCTCACGTCATGTTATGGACTCTTCTCCCTTCTTGGGTTATTAAGTGATCCATAGTGATTACATTGGTTCTACCCAGCTAATCCAGGATAATCCCCCTATTTTAAGGTCATCTGATTATCAGCTTTAATTCTCCTTTGTCATATCAACGTAACATATTCACAGGATTAGGATGTGGACATTTTCGGGGACTGTTAACTCTGCCATGTATTTTACTGTCTTGATTTCACAAGCTTCCCTCTTTCGCCTGTAGATTGTACTTAGATAGCCCCTGTGCTGGAGGCCATTTCTTTCTCAGGCTGATCTCACTCTTTAGAAATGAGCTATGCCATGGACTCACTCTTAGTTCCTTATGTCTGCTGGGGTGCATTGAAAGCAAGCCCAGACCTCCCAGTTGCTGAGTGTCCTGGCGACCTCCCTGCTCAGCTCTTGTATTTCCTGGCACAGTGTAGCCATCCCCTGCTTGGCTTTGTGGCCTTCCTCCTCCTAGTCTGAGGTGGAGCTGCCCTTGCTCTCGCCATTTGTCCTCTGCTGCTGAAGGCGTGGCCCTTGGTTGGTCATCCATCAATGTTCTCATATGCGCCCACAGTCTGCAGTTGGGGTTTAAGTTGGGGAAGGGGAATATCACTATGTTGTCTGCCTGCCGCTAACTTGTAGGCTCAGATGATCCTCCTGCTTTAGCCTCCCAAGTAGTTGGGACTACAGGTTCATGCCATCAAACACAGCTACTATTTTAATTTTGAACATAATGTTGAGCAGTGCCAGATCTATAGTTCTTATTCTGACCTCTTTGCTAACCCTATTAGCAAATGAAGGGCGTCTAGATCCATGTTGTGCCACTCTTTGTGTTTAGCTTAGTTTGTTTTCACACCCCTATTATCCACATGAATCCTCTTGGTGCCTCCCACCATGGTGATCCAGGCTAGATTCCTCACTGTATCTGGCTTCTTTGCTCTCACTCCCTTCCTAGTTCCTGCCACACGCCAGGTTTAGCTCTGTGATCTAGGTGTGTTCAAAGCAGGGAGTACCAGAATGTTGTAGTACTGGAGTAAAAGAAATGAATATTATTTTAAAGTTTTTAGTTTATGTATATGAGTGTTTTCTCCACATATAAGTGCACCATGAATGTTTTGCCAACATGTAAGTGCACCACATACATGCAGTACTCATGGAGGGCAGAAGAGGGTGTCAAATCCCCTAGAACTAGAGTCACAGGTGGTTTTAGCTGCCATGTGGGTGCTGGGAATCAAACCAGGTCTTCTGCTAAGAACAGCCAGTGCTCTTAACCACTGAGCTATCTCTCTAGCCTCTAAATTTAATTTTTAATTTTACCCCTTTACAGGTTATTTTTGTTTAAAAAAATGTGCAGAAGTGCCTTGATGTATATAATTAGTAAGCATGTGTAGGCTGGTTTGTATGCACCTAAGGTGAACAAGGGAACAGTGTTTAAGAAATTAGACCTGAAGACTTATTCATTTGAAGAACGGAAATCAATGGACTGGGGATATAGCTCAGTTAGTAGAGTGCTTGCCTAGCACCCACGAAACCCTGGATTCCAACCCTACCTCTGCATTAACCTGGTATGGTGGTGTATACTTAGTATACTTAAAATCCAAGCACTTCAGAGGTGGAGACAAGAGGATCAGGAGTTCAGAGTTATCCTCATTTACATGGTGAGTTCAAGGCCAGCCTGGGCTACATAAGGTATCCCTGTCTAAAAGAAAACAAAACAAAACAGTAAAACAAACAAAAATGCACCACCAACAAAGCCATCCCATAAAAAACCATGGAAGTCAAAAGGAAGCTGTTTTGGTAGAAAGGAGGCGATACCCAGAGCCCTTCCTCTCCACTACAGTGGAGGCTCTTGAGGTGCCTTCCTGATGTTCATTGTCCTTTTTACAATGCTGGGGGTTAAACCTTGGCCCTCATACATGCAGGGCCAGTGCTTTGCCACTGACCTGTGCCACAGCTCCCAAGTGTTCTTTGGGAAGCCATTGCTTTGGACGTAACACGTGGTATGGCTCTTGTCAGAGGCTATGAATGTGTCTGTTTCCCCAGATACCAGGGGCAACACATCCCGAACTTCCTCACTCCTTTACATCTTCCCTGCACAGTCCATGCATCCTTTGTTCCACACTCTGCTTTCCTGGGAGGTCCTTTGCACACGGGTGTCCAGTTAACATTTACCGAGTGAATGGTCCCAGGGATAGGGTAACCTGATGGAGGAGCAGTTTCTGTCCTGCCTCAGTGTGGCCTGCAGAGAAACTGTTTTGAGATCCTAGGTGTTGCCCTTGAGCTCCGGGACTCTGGATACTCCAGGGGTCCAGGACCTTCTCTACTGTGGCACTACAGTGCCAGCACTCCCTGCTGCAGTCTGAGGCATTGGTTTAGTATTGCAAATGGCGTCTTCTAGGCCTCATTTCCTTGCTTAATGGCTTTTGCCAAGCCTGTGGCTCCTAATGTCAGTATAACCAATTTAAGTGTGTTGATTAAAAACTCTCATGTAGCATTACTCAGTCCTGTACATCATCGTAAACCTAATTACATTTGCTCAGGCATGATGTAAATGTAGTGTTAAGTCAGCCTCCTCTCGGCATCTGGGCTGGAGGTGTAGATGCACTCTGTCCCGTCAAGAGGGAGGAGTTAGTGGGCCCGAGAGCCCAGGTCTTGATGGGATGGAAGATTAAGTGGTCTGCTATCCTTGTAATGGCTTAGATTTTATCTTCTAGATTCTCAGCATGGATGGCCCTGCTGCCCACACATTATAAGAGGATGCTGACCCCCAAGGCTAAGGAAAGGGGCACCTTGGCTCCTTTGGGGTTCTAATTTGTCTCACGGTAGGGACCCTGAAGGGAGAAGGCTCCTGGCTCTCCTTTTGAACCAGAGTAGGCTTGCTTTCTCTATATTTAGTTGAGTTTAGGCAGCTTCTGAGAAGACCAGGAACCAAAACTTAGAACAGATTTTGCCATAAAATTCTCAAGTACATTGATGTAGACTAGTTTGCACGGTGGTGTTGTTTGCACTTTTCTAAGGCAGATTTTTTAAAGACAGGGTCTCACTATATAACCCTGGCTGACTTGGAACTCATTATGTAGACCAGATTGCGCTTGAACTCACAGAGATCTATCTGCCTCTGCCTCCTATGTGCTAGGATTAGAGGTGTGTACCAGCAAGCCCGGCAAGACAGATGTTTGTTTTGGTTTTCTATTTGTTTCCCATGCTGGTGTTCCCCACTTAGTGCCCTCCTTTCTCCCTTTCTTCCTACCTCTATTCCCCCCATCCTTCTTTTCCTTTTGTTTCTAAAATAGCCTCACTATGTAATCCACATGGTCTTAGAACTCAATATATATAGCCCAAGCTGGCCTTGACTTCTTTGTCTTTGAACCTCAGCCTCCTGTGTAGTTGGATTTACATGCCCAGGTTCCTTGGTTTTCATCATAAGATCAACTTCTGCTGTATGTCAAAATGAGGGAGGACTGATTTGATTTCCTCTGGTTTGCTCAGGTTGCAGATGAGTACATGTTTTCCCTGGAGGAGAATAAGAAGACCAAGGGTCGCCGCCAGCCCTTAAGCAAGCTTCCTCGCCATCACCCGCTTGTGTTGCAGGAGTGTGGCAGCGATGACGGTAGGTCACTTCACTAGGGGGAAATCAGTTCACTTTAGTGGGACTTGCTGTGACAGGACGTCCGAGGCCCAAACAGAGGGGTGACGGTGGGCCTGTGGCTTAGCTCTTCTTTTACTCTATGGATTTCCTTTTATTTCTAGTTTGCTACTGAGTTTTCATAATCAGTTTGAGATTCTTGGAATGTGCTTAATATGAGATAATAGCATGCAGGTCTTTCCTTTCTTCTCCTAGGAGGTACAAGGATGGTTTTTCAGGATAGCAAATTTTGACAATGATGCCAAGCCCTATGCTGGATGTGGACACAAAGCTAACTAAGATATGTCTGTGCCCTTAAGATACTCACAGGGTAGTGGGGCAAACTGACAGGTAATGAGATCTAAAGAAAGGATGCCAATCCAGGCTGAGGGGACAGCATGAGTAAACATGGAGAGGAGAGACAGGAGCATATATGCAAAGGAACTGCTCATGTGCCTGGAGATCAAGATCAAGGCTACAAATGGACGTGGACTAGGAGGAGCAAGGCAGGAGTGAGGGCTGGGTCATCGACAGGGTTTTGTATGAGCTGAGTGAGGCCTTGCTCAGGAACCATGGAAATGTTTGAAGTAGAGCAGTGTTTCCATCAGGTTGACATAAGAAAGACTGGTCCTAGTGTGGGGTCTTGAGAATGGTTTTGATAAGACCACATGGGCTTTGGTGGTGTTTTCTTTGTGATGTGTCGGTCTGAACTAGGATGCTGGTGGTAAGGATGGGAGAAAGGGAAGTAGTGAAGATAGAGCCAGCTGGATTTGTTGACGGTCTGGAGCTATGAGGGTTGGGGAGGATGAGTTAGTGGTCTCACCTTCATGGTTTGTTGCTTTGGTTGGGTTTTGGGAATCTGAGTTCAGTGTTTGTTTGATTTTTTTTTTTTTTTTTAAATTTTTTTTTGTTTTTGTTTTTTTGTTTTTTTTTGAGGCAGGGTTTCCTGGTTGGTAGCTCCAGCTGACCTGGAACTCTGTTCTAGTTTATTTCTCAATTGCTGTGACAAAGTACTCTGACCAGTACTAGCTTGGGGAGAAAAGGGTTTATTTTATATTACATCTCTCAGGTCACAGTTCATCAGGGAGCCCAAGGTAGGAACTCAAGGTAGAAACCTGGAGGCAGGAGCTGGAGCACAGGCCATGGAGGAATGCTGCTTACTGACTTGTTCCCCTGACCCCTGTTCAGCCTGCTTTCTTATGCAACACAGGCCCACCTGCCCAGGGGTGGCACCACCCACAGTGGGCTGGGCCCTCCCACATCACTCAACAATCAAGAAGATGCCTCACAGACATGGCCACAGGCCAGTTCAATGGAGGCAATTCCCCAGTTGAGGCTCCCTCAACCCTGGTGTGTCAAGTTGACACTAAAACTGTCCAGCACAAACTCGCTATGTAGACCAGGCTGACCTTGAGCTCCACAGGGATCCATCCACCTACCTCTGCTGGAGTCCTGGGATTAAAGGTCTGCACCACCATGCCTGGCTTATTTGTATTTTTGAGACAGGGTCTCTATGTAGCCCTGGCTGGCTTGGAACTCACAAAGATGTATGTCCGCCTCTGACTCCTGGGTGTTGGGATTAAAGGTGTGTATTGCCTCGCCCAGCTCTGAGTTCAGTGCTGATGTAGACTTAGGAATGGTACAGATGTGGTGCTTTTTAGGATTATTTTAAAATAAAGGAAGTCACTCATGGAGAAGGCAGAGGCTAGGGATAGGTGGAGGGGAGCCTAAGAAGGAGACAGAAAAGGAGTAAGAGACATGGGCAAGAAGAAATGGGAAGTGAGGCTCTGAAACTCAGGGTGATCAACGGTGGGGAGCCATTCTCCTGTGCTGCTTGGTATAGAGTGTTGGTAAGCCTGGGCCTTGGCAGGGCTGTGGGGATAAGCCCCTATACTCTTGCAAAACATTCACTTGTTCTTAGTACTCTCTAACTAGTGCTCAGTCCTTCCTAATGAGCCAGTCGCTGCAATTTTCTTTTGTGGAAAGTCTGTGACAACTTGAGTCTAATCCCAGGAGGGTCCTTAGTTTATGCTCTAGCCTAGCTAAGACCTTTAGTTTAGTTGCATGATTTCTTCCCCAGTGCTGTAAAATGACATAGATTATAGAAACCTGGAACAGCAGAATAATTTTTCAAGAGGCTAAAGAAAGTTACCCTTAAGCCTATCTTCCAAAGATGGGCAGTGTGAGTGAATATTTATGTATAACTTCTAGGCAATCATGGATTGGGTCCAAGTGTGTCCTTTTAACGTGTAATTGAGATCATGACACTATTCTCAACTTTTTGTGATGAGCAGTGTTCAAAGTGAAGGGATGGGGACACTGTGACCTCCCCACGTGTTCAACAGTTGTTTACAGAACACTGTCACTGTAGTTTGTCTTACCACTTCTTTTTGCTAGTCGCTTCTTAAGACAGATGTCACATAGCCCAGGCTGGTCTTGAACTCGATATGTAGCCAAGGCTGGCCTTAGTTCCTGATTCTCTTGCTTCTACTTCTGACTCAGGTAGCTTTGGTGTCACATGTACACCTGCCTAACTGCTACATCCCTGAAAGTAAGCAGTGGTCATTTGGTCATTTTACTTTTTCCTTTCTCTTAACCCTTTCTTCTTTTACTTTTGCAATAATAACATAGGGCCTCATACATGTTAGGCACACACTCTACCACAAGCCTGAATCCCCAGCCCTCTTTTTACTTTTTATTTGAGATTAGGTCATACTTAGTTGCCTAGGCTGGCCTTGAACTCGCTTTATACATAGGCAGGCCTTAAACTTTTAATTCTCTCGCCTCAGCCCTCAGAGTAGCTAGGACTACAGGCCTGCCCCAGGCCCAGCCTGATCTCCTCATTTAATACACAAGTGGGCATCTGCTCAGGATTGTCCCCTAATAAGCACTCTGCTGTTAATCTTGTTTTCACACCCAGGCCAATAAGCAGTACTGTCTTAATTGCTTCTGTTCATCAGTCCAGATTTGTCTTGTCTTCCTCTGCTGAACTGCAAATGCATTCAATAGAGGTTTTTTTTTCCCTTTAATATAAACCAAACAAGGGTTATATACTCTACTTAAAATTAGGATTGTTAGGCTAGTATATTGCTTATTCCACCACCCCACACACACTTTTTTTTTAAACGGGCTTGGTTGTTGTGATAAAACACTGACCAAAACCAAGTTGGGGAGGAAAGGGTTTGTTTCATCTTATAATTCCTAGAGATGTCCAGGCAGGAACCTGCCACAGAGCTAAGGCAGAGAGAGGCTTTGAAAGAAGAATCTGCATGCTGGCTCGCTTCCCCTGGACCGCGGAAGGATGCTGTGTACTGACTGGCTCGCTCCCCCTGGACCGGGGAGTGATGCTGCGTACTAGCTTCCTCCCCCTGGACCATGGAGGGATGCTATGTACTGGCTTGCTCCTCTGCCTTGCTCAACTACCATTGGCTACCATCCTTATACAGCCCAAGCCCACCTGCCTAGATGGTATCATCCACAGTGGGTTGGAGCCTCCTATGTCAACTAGCAATTAAGAAAATGCCTTATAGACATGGCCAGAGGCAATTCTGGTGGAGGAAATTGCTCAAATGACGTTCCCCCTCTTCCCTCCTTCTTCTAGTCTGTGTCAAGTTGACAAAAGCTAAAGCACAATTGGTTCCTTGTCAACTTGACATACAAACACATCACTGTAAGCCATACCCTTTTCATATCTTGTCCCCAAGAGCTCATGCTAATATCACAATATAAAACACAGCTTAACTTTTAAAAGTTCCACAGTCTTTTGACAATCCAGTGATTTGAAAGTTTAAGTTCTCTTTTAAAAATTCAGAGCCTTATATGATGGTACATGCCTTTAAAGTCCCAGCAGAGGCAGACAGATCTCTGTGAGATTGAACCCAGCCTGGTCTACATAATGAGTTCCAGGCCAGCTGGTACTATAGGGAGACCCTGTCTCAAATAAAACAAAAACAAAACAAATCCAAAGTCTCATGACTGGGCTCCTGTCAAATAAGAAATAATTTCCTTTTCTAAGATGGAAGAATCAAGGCATAAAAATTATCACATTTAAGCAGAATCAAAGTCCAGCAGTATAGCTCCAGATCTTGTAGCTCAGTGTCTGACATTTGGGACTAAAAGGGCTTGGGCAGCTCCTCTTCTGCAGCACTGCCATCTGTAGCACATAGAGCATATCTGGTAGGTTCAGGCCAGCTCCAGTGCCTACCTCCTGCTGTCCTTAGTGGTTGCCCTACAGTCAGTCCTGGTATCTCCAGTATTTTGGTGTTACCACTGCAACTGAGGCTGCATCTTCCCCAAAAGTGTCTCCCAGGCTTTCTCAGGGACTCTACCCAGCCTCGTGGTGTCAAGCCTTGGCTTTTCTCCATGTCCCTTTCCATCCTGGGGTCTCCACAGCAGTAGAGGCTGTACCTTTACCAATGGTCTTTCCTGGCCTAAAACAGTGCTAAACCTCTGCTGCTGTCCATGACCCCCTGCATGCCTGTAAAACCAGTACTATGGGAGACACCTACATGTTTCCAGGTTCATCTGCCAGCTTGGGATGTGGCGTTGGCCCCCTCTGGACCACAGCTTGCGTGCTCACCCTGAGGAAGTATTTCCCAGATTTTACCTCCGTAAAAAATCTGGTTTCTTATTAATCATAGTTGATTTTTCAGCCCTAGCTGACCAGTATCCATTGTCCCAGTGAAATACAGGTTTAACTTCCACAGATTTATTTATTTATTTATTTATTATTTATTTATTTATTTCGGTCTTTTTGAGATAGGGTCTCCCTGTAGCCCCAGCTGGTCTGGAACTTACTATGTAGACCAGGCTGGCCTGAGTCTCACAGAAATCCACCTGCCTCTGTCTCCCAAGTGCTTGGATTAAAAGGTGTATGCCACTGTGCCCAGCCTGTTCTTTTTTTTTTTTTTTTTTTGGTCTTTTTGAGACAGGGTCTCCCTGTAGCCCCAGCTAGCCTGGATTTGCTATGGAGACCAGGCTGGCCTTGAACTCCCAGAGAGCCACCTGCCTCTGGCTCCTGAGTGCTGGAATTAAAGGCGTGTGCCATCATGCCCAGCCTTCTTTTTCTTTTTTAATTTTATTTATTTTTTAATTTTAAGTATATGAGTGTTTTACCTGCATGTATGTAACTGCACCTATACTGTGCAGAGGCAGGAGGGCACTGGATCCCCTGGAACTGGAGTTACAGATGGCTGTGAGCTGCTGTGTGGGGGCTGGGAACTGAACGTGGTCCTCTTCAAGAGCAGCCAGTGTTCTTAATCACTTAGCCATCTTTCCAGCCCCACTTCCACAGATTCTTAATCCGAATATATCACATGGCCTCAGTAGAGTTTTTGTTTTCCCTGCCTGCTTGCATTTCTCTCAACATTATCTTCCAAGCTGCTATAGAACAGCCCATTAGGCTGTGAGTACTCAAGGGCTTATCCAACCCAAATCTCCAAAAAGCCTTCCACAGTCCTCCCCTAAAAGAGCATGGTCAGGTCCTTCATAGCCATACCTCACATTCCTGGTCCCACTTCCTGTTCTAGTTTGCTTTCTATTGATGTGATAAAATATTTACCAAAACCAACTTGAGGGAGGAAAGGGTTTATTTGACTTACAGGTCACAGTCCTTCATTGCGGGAAGCCAAGGCAGGAACTGAAGCAGAGACCATGGAGGAATGCTGCTTATTGGCCTGCTCCCTCTGGCCTCTCAGCTACTTTCTTCATGGCCCAGGCCTACCTGCCTAGGGATGGCACCACCCACAGTGGGCTAGGCCCTCCTATATCAATTAGCAATTAAGAAAATGTCCCATAGACATAGCCACAGGCTCTTTTGATAGAGGCAACTCCTCAACTGATATTTCCTTTTCCTAGGGGACTAGTTTGTGTCAAGTTGACAAAAACTGATGAGCAAAACTCTAGCCCAGACTGGCTTTGAATTCATGATCCTTCTGCCTCAGCCTCTCAAGCTTGCAATTAGAAGCTTGTACACCATGCTTGGCTTTCCTGGCTTTATAAAAGAATCACTTTCATCTGAGGCATAACATTTTTAGTGAAATGCACATGTCTTAACTATAAGGCTCTGTGAAACATTACATATGTAAACTGTTAAAATTTTGATTCCTGCAATTTTCACTTAAGACAGTGAACATTTTCCCTTGGCATTCAGTATTCACATATGGAATGATTTTGGCCACTTTTGACTTTGTAAGTGGAACAGATGTCAGTGTGCTAAGTTTGTAGCTGTGGCTGTGAGCCTGTCTGTTTCTATCTCTTCCATCCTATTTTGGTCCCTCATGTTCCAGTCTGGACCTGGACAATGGGGCCCTTAGAGGTTGATTTAACTTGTGTGCATCGACCTCCTTATGCCACAGTGATCTCTACTGAGGCTGTATACAATGGCACCTGCCAGATCCCTTTAGATTAAACATGACTGTGAAGACAGAGAGGGAAATGATTTATCTGTGCTGAGGTAGAGTTGTCTGAAGTGAACAAATGGGCAGGTTTGTCCGCCAGAGCTTTCTCTGGGCTGCTTTGCAGAGATCTCAAGGGCTCCTTGGGAGGGAGTCCTTTTGTCTGGGAAGGAGCAGTGTCACTGGAGTAGATTGCAGGCACCCCCCCCCATAGTACCACATGCAGTGACTTCATGACATGCCTCACTGGGTGGTGCTGTCAGGGCCGGTCTCCTGTCAGATACTGCAAGGGAGTACTTGGCAAGGGAGCACATGGCGACTGTTACTTCTCATCCCCCCCACTGCAACAGCCGATACTGCAGGTGTGAGCCACCACGCCTGGTGATTACAGCAGTCCATTCTGATGGCTGCTTCTGCTTCTGCTTCTACCGCAGCTCCTCCCTCTAGACTGTCAGAATTCCTATGGGTCTCTCCTGCACCTTGACCTTGTGTGCCTGGAACTAGTGAGCTGTGTACCTTTCTTGCTTCCATCTTGGTTCATGAGCAAACTTTTGTTTTCCATTCTGCAGTGAGTCTTATTCCTTTAGGAAGATGTACCCAGATAGGAACTTTTCCTGGGTTGTGGTAAGGGCTCTTGAGTTGTGGTATCTGCAGGCCACTGAACCTAAGGGAGATGAGGGCTCTGAAGCCCCAAGGCCTTGTAAAGGTCCTGGGCTTTACAGTCCTCCATGGTCTCTGAGATCATTGCCTCTCCCTTACCCCCCATCCTTTGAAAATGCAAAAACAATTCTAGTTTCCTGAGTGGGTTGGATTGTACCTGCAGGCAGTTCATCAACTCCTGGTCTAAAGGTGACATTAATGTTTCATGATCAGTAAGAGGATATGTTCCAAACACATGATTCTATCCTTCTCTGAGGCAGAGCCAGATGTAGGAGAATCTTGCTCAAATAGGCAAATATCCCCTGAACTTTCCAGAGTCGGCTGGAAAGTCCTGACCAAGGGCCATGATGTAACGTCTTTCAAGCTTTGCCAATTCCCTGTTATTTTTCCTTCCTTTTCCCCCAGCTCAACTAAAGGGAAAACCCTAAGGGGTTAGAACTTAATGGGCTGGCATTTTGGAGGCTGCAAATAACATGGTTTCTGACAAGAGGGCGTTTTAGTCTACTGCTGTTGGAGAGGGCAGAAGGTTGAATGTGGCAGCTGTTAAAGGGAACAGAGCTCCCAGGGCATGAGGAAGAGTAGAAATGATGAGTCAGTCTAACCAGAAAAAGGCGTATAAGCAAGACCCCTCTAAATCATCTGGGTATTAGAGTCTATTGGTAATCACTTTTGTCCTTGGCTTTTATTACTTTTTTTTCTTGTCTTTTAAAAAAAAAAAATTATTGTTTTTATATGTATGCATGTATTGCGTACATGTAGGTAAGTGCACCCATGTCGTACAATGCCTACAGAGGACAGAGGATACTATCAGATCCCCTGGAACTGGAATTACAGACAGTTGTTAGCTGCCATGTGGGTGCTAGAACTCGAACCTGGGTCCTCTGCAAGAACAACCAATGTTCTTAACCACTAAGCCGTCTCTCCAGGCCTTTTTTCGGTCTTTTTAAGACAGGGTCTCCCTGTAGCCTCAGCTGGCCTAGAACTCGCTATGTAGACCAGGTTGGCCTCAAACTTAGAGATTCACCTGCCTCTGCTTCCTAAGTCTTGGGATTAAAAGGGTGCCACCACCTGTCTGGTTTTTATCACTCTTAGGGATCAAACCTCTGGGACCCAGGAGCCCTGACGGAGATGCTCTGCTCTATAGGCGGTCTTCCCACGTGTGGGGCTGATGCTGATTCACTTCTGTCTTTTCTTCTAGAGACTTCTGAACTGACCCCTGAGGAGGAGGCTGAAGAGACAGAGACTTGGGCCAAGCCCCTGAGCCAGCTATGGCAGAACCGACCTCCCAACTTTGAGGCTGAAAAGGAATTCAATGAGACCATGGCCCAACAGGCCCCTCACTGTGCCGTCTGTATGATCTTCCAGACGTACCATCAGGTAGGCCTGTTCCGTGGTCCCCTTTGTATCCAGGACCAGCAGTCAGAGGAAGCTGGGTTTCATTATGGGTGCAAGGCTTGTCACTGTTTACTTTGAGGACGGCTTGTCTTCTAGCATTCTCTGCCCTGTCAGTTCTGTGGTGAGGATCCTTCAGGCAGATAACCCAACCATGGGAGCATTCCCTTGAGAATGCTTGGCGGACCATGTAGCTCAGGTGCCCCTTGCACGTGTGCTCCACATAGGCCTCACTCTTGGTAGAACACTCTACCATTATCCTAGCCTAGGAATATTCTTGCCTACTTGTATGTATGTAGTCCTGGCCAGTTTGGGTACAGGATGGGAATTTCTTTTCCATTTGAAGTCTAAACTTAGGTGAAAAACTAGATCCTCTCATGCTATCCCATCTGTCCCTCCCCACTGTCATACCGCTTGGCTAGAAGGGGCTTGGATGGCATGAAAGCAGTGAGTCTGAGGAGATGAAGGTTGGTGGTTGCTGGGCTTGGCTGTGCTGGGTCACTGATGGCCTTACCATCATGGATCACCTTGGGTTAAACTCTAGAAGGCTGGGCAGGCATTCACAGCAGTAGGTGTGAGGTGTGACTGGTTCAGCTGGGACCTACAGAGCTTGGCAGTAGATAAGAAGTCCAAAGGTGGTTAAAGTGGCATGGCTATCTTGAGTTTGTAGGGCCCCAGGCTCATGTCTGCAGAGGGATGGAACCTAGATTCACATATTGGATCAATACCTTACTCCTCTTTGCATTAACAGAAAGCAAAAACCAAAGGACTGTAGGTGCCATTGCCCATGAGGGAGGTGATTGGCCTGGCTGTCAGCAGTAACAGCTAAGGGAGGGCCAGAGTTTCATGAATGGCATAGGCTTAGAGGTTCCATCCAGTTTCCATCCTGGACTGAGGATGATGGTGCCATCCAGCAGCAGAGCAGAGGCAGAGGATATCTGCAGTCAGTGTATTTTGTCTGGGCAGTATGTAGACATAATGCTTTTCCTGGAGAGGCGGGAGCCAGGAATCACAGGTCAGCTCCAGCCATGCTATAGTGCTACAGCTCAGGTGACCTGCTGACGTGGTCCATCAGAGGTAATCAGTGCTGGCCCATTAGGAGCTTGTGCTCTGGGTGCTGTCTCTGAGTGGGGCTCCCATGTGGTACAGCACCTAGGGGAGCCTGCTGTGGCAGTATCACTGCTAAGATCTCAGCATTTTATTATCACTTGGTTTGGGAAGATTGAAATCCCAGTTGCCTCTTACTGCACTCCCTCTTCTCAGGTTGTCCCCCAGAGGCCTTTGTTTGATGTTGCTGTGAGAAATTGAATTTGAGTCATTAGAGGTAACTTCAATTAGTAGCTGTGGGATAATGGCTGTGCACCCGGGAGCTATAGCCACTGTCATACCAGTAAGAGGGCCAGCTTTCTGCTGATGGAGCAGGTGGAGAGGCAGGAGCACTGGTGGGTGTGCTCACTGTGCTGCACACATTCTCTTCCTTTCACTTAGGTCGAGTTTGGAAGCTTTAGTCAGAACTGTGGGAATGCTTCAGAACTAGCTGCCCAGACACAGAGGACCAAGCCATTGATTCCAGAAATGTGCTTCACCTCAACTGGCTGCAGCACGGACATCAATCTTTCTACTCCTTATCTGGAAGAGGATGGCACCAGCATGCTGGTGTCCTGCAAGAAGTGTAGTGTCCGCGTCCATGCCAGTGAGTGTCTCTCACCTTTCTCTCGTCTTGTCCCAGCAGCACCCACCTGCTCACTGCAAGTCCTTGTCCTCTTTTAGCCTTTGCAGTCTCCCGATGCAGAAGTTGCCTATATGTTCCCTGGAAGTTGTTGGCTGGTGAATGCATTTCCTTTTGACTCCAGCATTCACACCAGTGTCTGTCAACTCTGGGGTCCTCTGGGTTGTGGGCATCTGGAGGGAATTAGTCCTGGCTACTTCCCAGGTGTATGCACCAGTGAATCCAGTTTCTGACTTTTCTAGTCAGACTGTGTGGTTGAGCCCTGGGGACTGTGATCTAGAATTTGGGGATTTCTGTAATAATTGGGTTTCTTTGGGAGATGGTGTCTATGGAAAAGTATTGTAAATCTCCATTGTAACTCCAATCCCCACATTTAATTTGCTCTTCTTGGTGTCCTTATTAGGTTGCTATGGGGTCCCCCCTGCAAAGGCTTCTGAAGAGTGGATGTGTTCTCGGTGTTCAGCCAACGCCTTGGAGGAGGTGAGTGCTCCCTTGCTCTTCCTATCTTCCCCAGGAGACTGGAGTGACTTCAGAGCTAGTGTCTTTTTTGTGGGACATAATGTATATCCACAGCAGTTGACTTAGGGCCTGGTACTCAGTGATGTCAGAGTGGGTGGATCTGGAAGCTGTATTAGTGTCATCTGGGAAAAACTAGGTAGATGCCTTGTAGAGGGTCCATCATCTTCTTTTTTAAAGAATTCAGCTCTAGGGGCTGGAGAGATGGCTCAGCAGTGAAGAGCACTGGCTGCTCTTCCAGAGGACCCAGGTTCAGTTCCCAGTACCCAATAGACAATTAACAACCACCTCTAACTCCAGTTCCATGGGATCTGATGCCCTTGTTGGGTACAGTACACACATGGTACATTTACATATACACAGGCAAAATACTCACATACATAAAATAAAAATACATAAATAAAAAAGAATAGTCACATTGAAAAACAGACAAATATTTCAGTTCTGAGTTTGGAGTTTGAGAACATGGCTCAGGTGGATCATTATGTTACTTTCTCTACTGTTGCCCCTAAAACCAGGCAGGAGTCCCCCTGTAGGAAGCCATCAAAGCCCTGCATGGCCTCCAGGCTGTTTTGGCAGCTTATGTAATGTTGCTCACAGTTGTTATGAAAAGTCACTTCAAAGAGGGTTATGTTAAAATACTGGTGTACTTTGGCCTGGAGTGTCCTGGCTCTTAGAGGGGAGTCCTGACTACAGGGTGTGTCTGACAGCCCACCTGTCATCACACTGCTTTCTTGGTGGAGTTTAGAGCTGTCCACAGGACGTCTCAGGGAGGGCAGATGGTGTTGACTTGTTGGTAACCACCTTCTTCTGCCTTCTGGCAGGACTGCTGTTTATGCTCGTTGCGCGGAGGGGCCCTGCAGAGAGCAAACGACGATAGGTGAGTTTTCTGAGCAGTTGGTGTGCAAAGGCCCAACTCTAAAAGCAGCACTGGGAGGGCAGTGGCTCTGCTTCTACAGCATGGTGAAGAATGTGGAGCTGGACCACATCTCTAAGATTTATTTCAGCAAGCAGCCCCAAACCAGGTGTGGTGGTGCATACCCTTTGATCACAGAGGCAGGAGGCAGAGGCAGGTAGATCTCTGTGAGATCAAGGCCAGCCTGGTCTACATAGTGAGTTCTAGGCCAGCTGGGGCTACAGGGAGACCCTGTCCCCAACAAACAATAAGCTGCCCTAGACTGCCTTTCTAACGCCACTTTCCCTCCGAAACCGAGATGTAAGTAACATCCTCCTTTGAGAGGAGCTGAGGACCCTGTGAAGGTGGCACAGGCCCTTCATGGCTTAGAAGTGAGGACACTGACCTTGTTACAGCTGAGGCTGGTGACTGCTCACCCCTTCTTCCTTTCCTCTGCCTGTCCCTCCCTTCTTCCCTCCTTTCTTTCAGTATCCAAGTTGACCTAGAACCTCTTATGCAGTACCTGCTGGTACCCAACATGATCCTCCTGTCTCAGCCTTCCAAAGGCTGGGATTGCAGGCATGTATCATAGTGAGCAGCTTCCTCAGAGAAAACTCCTTGGCCCATACCTGCTATTTGGAGAGAGGACAAATGTCCTCAAGGGGGACAGTAGGACACTGAGGAGAGCTTAGCCAGGTCACCCACTGTTAAACCTGCAGAAGTTTCTGGGCTTCTTGGCCATCAGGCAGCTCATTCTCACTGAGTTGCTTCTTTCGTTCTCTTTCATGTCTACTTGCTGTGAGGAAGAAGCAGGCTCTGAGTTTTTGCTCTGGAAGGTCTGCTGTCTAGGGAGTTGTATGTACAAGTTGGCAGCAGCCAGTAGAGGATAGCTTACTTCCACATAAAACCCTGTGGAAGCTAGCCTTCCACCTCCAGGGATACCTGATATGCCACTCCTGAGGGATGGCTGCTCTGCTGTGCCTCCACCATTCCCGGTGGTCATTGTGTTCCTCCCAGTGGCAGGGTAGGCCTGTTACACTTTCCTCATCTGGAGTGGAAATGGCTCTCTTGAACCTCTCATCTTTGCCTTTTAATCTCTGTTCTGTCCTCCAGAACCACAAAAAAAAAAAAAAACCCAAACCGTTCCTGCTCCACATGGCATCCCTGCTAGTGCTGCAGACCACTTCCATGTCTACTGTTGGAAGTTTTCATGTAACCTCAACTTTAAAAATAATTTGGGGCGGGTGTGGAGCTGAGATTGAACCTACAGTCTTGTGTATACTTAAACACACACTACCAGTAGTGGATCCTCATCGTGGCCTGATAATAAGACATTTCACAATGTGGGAGGGCATGTCAGTTTCCCAAGAAGTGCTTTCCTATGGAAAAATCCTGATTTTTCTCTAGTTTATTCTTACCCCTGAACCTCACCATGGTCAGTCAACTATGGTTCTGCTTCTTTTGCCATAAATTGAGGAGAAACAACACTGTACTAGCCTTGGGCAGTGAGGTGGCAGATGACCCTCACTTTCTTGGGTTCCAAGACTTGGGTGGCGGGGCGGAAGTCATTGTCAGTCCTGGGTGAGGGAGGAGGTACTGTCGGTATGCCTGCAGGTTTGTAGACCCAGAGGTGACTGAGGCCTTCCCCTTTTGGCAGGTGGGTCCATGTATCGTGTGCTGTAGCAATTCTGGAAGCAAGGTTTGTCAACATTGCTGAAAGAAGTCCAGTGGATGTGAGCAAAATCCCTCTGCCCCGCTTCAAACTGGTAAGGAAGAAGAGAGGGGCTTTTGAACTTTGCACAGTTCCCCTACTGATGAGTCTGGGAGGAATTGGGTGCCTTTCTCCTTGGCTCATGGCTACCTTCCTCCTTTGGTTTTGATTAGTCTGTGATTCTAACCCTGCGACCAAGCTACCTAATGAGGACACTCATGATTAGATGTAAGTGTAGAGCAGCCATTGGGTGTCCTGTTTTGCGAGGAGGTTAACTCCTAATCGCTTGGTTCTGTGCATTTGGGAGGGAAAACCAGAAGAGGCTGGATGGCCAGTCAGTGGAATCATGAGCTCTCTCCCCTGTGTATAGAAGTGCGTCTTCTGTAAAAAACGAAGAAAAAGGAACGCGGGCTGCTGCGTGCAGTGTTCTCACGGCCGCTGCCCTACTGCCTTCCACGTGAGCTGTGCCCAGGCTGCTGGGGTGATGATGCAGCCGGACGACTGGCCTTTCGTTGTCTTCATTACCTGCTTTCGGCACAAGATTCCCAATTTGGAGGTGAGAGGCTGCCGCTGTGGACTTTTGGCAGTTTGGGGGATCATTTTCTATGCATGCTGTCCATTTATTGTTTCAGCAAGTATTCTGCTTGATGGAAAGTGCTAATGGATAAGCAATTAAGAGATGGCCCCTGTATCTTTACCTCAGCTGTGTCCTTCACAGTTGACTAGTGCCAAATTCGGATTTATCTGTTCCCTTGCTTGCCTCTCCATCATTAAACTCCCTCAAGGTCCTAATGGTGCTCATCTGAGCATCTTTTTTCCTTACTCTGATGCCTGGGACATGGCAGCAGCTCTGGAAATGTTGAGAGCTGATGCTCTGACAGTTGGACATTATTTGCCACACAGGAGATGCCTAGTATAGTTCTCCACATCGTGAATGTGGGCAAAGATATGTGGAGTCCTAGCTGCAGGAGTTATGAAATGGGCCTGGGTGGGTGCTGAGGAATGAGCAAGAAGTGTGAGTGCATTCAGGGCTTCAGAAATAGGAGCACGTCCTATAAAAATGAGTATGTCAGGCTGGTTCTGTGCTGGTTTTGTGCACCTGGCAGGGCCACTTAGGAAACGAGCAATGCCCAAAGGATGAAATCCCTCCACTGCTGCATTTAGGAGTTCACTTCTTTTCCTTCAGATGAGGAGAACTTCTGGAAGTTCATTGTTTGGGGGTGTGCGTGTGTGTGTGTGTGTGTGTGTGTGTGTGTGTGTGTGTGTGACTTGAAAGATACATAGGAAACTAGTATATATATGTATATAGTATGTCAGAGCATGAGAAGTACAGTGGACAAAATTGGAGTAAGGCAAGGGATGTGAAAGAGAGGCTAGTAAGGAATGGGGCTGGTGAATAGACATTGTGGGTGTGAGAGAGCCAGGGTGCAGGTGAGTGTGTGATGAGTCTACTGTCCTGGGTAGAGGCAGTAGCAGTGCAAAGCCCCTGAGGTAGGAGCACATGTAGTAGCCCGTGTGTTCTGAGAATAGCAAAGAGGCCTGAATGTCTGGAGCAGTCTGGGTAGGAAAAAAAATTATCTAAGAGCCAGTTTGGCCAGGAATTCAGGTAAGCCAAATTAATGGAGGGAATGTGGCCCTGGCCTGGGATACAGGCATCTGGAAAAGCCTGCTGCGGCTCTCATTTTTACATTTCCATTTCTATGCTTATTTGATTTGGATTGAGCTTGGTCCTCATTTGCCAGGCCTGTCAACTTAATGCATAAATAACCCAAGCCTGTTTTTTGTAGCGTGCCAAGGGGGCCTTGCAGAGCATCACTGCAGGTCAGAAGGTCATTAGCAAGCATAAGAATGGGCGCTTCTACCAGTGTGAGGTGGTCAGGCTCACCACTGAGACCTTCTATGAAGTCAACTTTGATGACGGCTCCTTCAGTGACAACCTTTATCCTGAGGACATAGTGGTAATGTCTGCAAGTAGCCTCTGGGGTAGTTTGGGGCTGATTTGTCTAGAGATGGTTGAGGACTGACTTGAGTTTCTCTGCCTCCTGTCAGTTCCCAAACAGAAAGAAGCATTCGTTTGGGTCTTTTCTTTCAAGGAAAAATTTGTTCTGCTATGGTACTCTTCTCCTAGAACTCATTGGAGTCAATGTTTTCCTGCAGTTCTTTGAAATCTACATGTTTTTCAGTCTAAATAATTCCTGAAGCGAAGGCATCTAGAGTGCAGGAGACAAGCCAACGCTTTGGAAGCAAACCAGTGCTTATACCAGCTTCACTGCTTAGAGGTTGTGTGATTTTAAAAGGAGTGTTCCACCCTCTTTCCTGCCATGCCTACTTGGGAGGTACAGAGTCTACTCTGAGCTCTGCACAGTTGAGGCTTTGCAGATATGAAGAAACTACTTGAAAAGGGTGCAGCTTACCAACACCCGAGATGCTGGGGGCCCTGCCTGGACCTACTCCTGGGTTTCCTGGCTCAGTGTTCAGAACTTAGTTCAGGTTTTCCCTGCCTTTGGCCTCCCTTTTCCTGTGCTAGTCTAAGCACCATGGCAAAGGACCGAAGCCATTTCTTGACAGATTGGGTCTTCCTATGTTTATATTGCATTAGCAACTTTATTGTTAAAAGCATATTCCTTAATTACAAGGCAGAATGTTATTGTCAAGCTGAGGGTATTCATAGGCATAGTACAGCCAGGGCTTATTAAACTCTTGCATATACCCGGTGCTGTGCTGAAGACTGGCAGGTTTCTACCTTCTGCAGGCTCCGAGAAGTAGCTAGCCTTAGAACTCAGAACAGTGTTCATAGTACTCCATTTTCCAAAGGTCTTAAGACTTTAAAGAGCTTATGTTTTTGTGGGTTTTGTCTATCAATAGTTATTCAATTAGAAATTAAAGCTAATATTAGTTCCTAACTATTTTAATGAGGGGGGGTGAAACTAGCACGGAGAGTGCCATATTTCTCCAATATTGCAGTCTCTTGCCTCTCACTTCGTCATCCAGTCCATTGTTAAGGTAGGGCATGGTCATGCGTGCCTGTGATCCTAGCACTTGAGAGGCTGAGGCAGGAGGGTTGAGAGTTCGAGGGTGGCCTGAGCTATAAAATGAGACCCTTTCTCAGAAAAAAAAATATTGAACAAAAAAAAGTATAGGAGGAAAAATTGGTCTCACATAAACATAAGACACATACTTGGAACAGGGAAGAACATTTTAATGGCCTAGCTGAGAACTGAATTTTTTTGCAGTACTGGGTATTGAAACTAGGGCCTCATACATGTTAAGCAAGTGTTCTACCACCGAGCTACATGGCTAATTCTTAAAAAAAAAAAAAAAGAATTTTTTTAAAAAATGTGAATAGGATCTAAGTTGTCCTGGTAGGCCTTGAACTTGTGATCCTCTTGCCTCCTGAATAGTTGGAATTAGAGACCTGTGCTACCAGGTCTGGCTACAAGAGGCAGTCTTTCAGTCTGTCTCTCAGAGTAAATCTTGTGCCTAATCTATTACACTGTACACTGATCATTTAGAATGGCATACTGGGCTTTGGGGATCTTCCAAATGATGTTAACTTTTATTATAAATATTTTAAAAATCACATTCCTATTGTCACCCATCTCATTAGAAAATTAAAATTCTGGGAAGGGCTGATGAGATGGCTTAGCAGGTAAATGCATTTGCCGCCAAGCCTGATGATCTCAGTTTGGTCCCTAGGACCCACATGGTGGAAGGAGGGAACCAACTCCTGGAAGGTTTCCTCTGATCTCCACATGAATACTGTAGCATGTACACACACACACACACACACACACACACACACACACAATGCTCTGAGAAGCTTCAAGTTCACAACTGTGAGGGTTACTTTCTAAACCCATCTAAGTTTTGCTTGATAGCCTGTATTTTATATTTTATTATTGGTAATAGAGGCAGTGTCTCTGGTTTTGTGGAAGTGACAAACTTCATTTGTTTTCAGGAAGGTGTTTGCCAAAGGTGTTTGCAAGTCTCAGTAACCAGTTTATCTGTCAGTCATTTTCTTTTCCCCTAAATAAAGCTGGTATTCTGAGGGGTGGGTGGGGGAACAGCTGGTACAGCTGAACATTTAATAACTACACAACTGTACAGGTGCCTTTTTAATCTACCAGTGTTGGCAATTGAACCTAGGGCCTCAAGCATGCTAGGCCAGTTTTCTACAGCTCACACACAAGTGATTTTCCTTTAACCACCCTAGAACCATATGCAGCACAGAGCATCTTCAGGTGCTTACACATGCAGTCAAGGCCGTAGGACGTAGCTAGGTTAATTGCTCCTGCTTCCCAGGACACTGCTATGTGAAGCCAGGCTTTTTCAACTCTCTTAAATTTTGAGTGCACAGTGGTGACAAATGCAGTAATGACTAGTAGAGCTTTTTGTACACAGGGCCTGTTGTATACATCACAGATTTTTCTGGAAATGTCCACACGATAAAAAGACTAATGGTCTGTTTTTGTTTTGTTCTTATTTTTTGCGGTTATGGGGATCAAACTCAGGGCAGGCACTCTGCCACTCAGCTACATCCCCAGCCCTGGTTTTGTTTGTTTGTTTGTTTTTTTGTTGTTGTTCGTTTGTTTGCAACAGGTTATACTACATAGCCGAAGCCCAACTGGCCTTCAACTCAGGTCCTCTCATCACAGTCTCCTAGGTGTGCCTGACCACTCAGCTAGATGATCCTTTCATTTCTTACTTCGTCTGTATTTCAAGAACAGATTTCTTAAAACATACTTACAGTTCTACCATTTCTTCATGGCAGGGGTGGGGTGGGGTAGAGCGAGGTCCATTTCCAAGTCTTTATTACATCTTTCAGCCCAGAGCAGGCTACCTTGTCTGAAGGTCTTGATCAGGAATTTCTCCTAGCTCATTCTTCTGGAGTCGAAGTGGTTTACCACTGTGGTAACAACTCTCCTCTCTTCTTTCCTCAGAGTCAGGACTGTCTCCAACTGGGACCTCCTGCTGAAGGGGAAGTGGTTCAAGTGAGATGGACAGATGGTCAAGTCTATGGGGCTAAGTTTGTGGCCTCCCACCCCATCCAGATGTACCAGGTATCCAGGGGTTCTTCTGTGGGAGCTGAGGGCAGAGAGGGTACTTTACTAATTCAATGTTTCCTCTTGGGCAAGTGACTTGCCTTTGCTCTTGGGAGAACTAGGGGTCAGTAACAGTCATCACAGAGCTAGAGGTCTGCTTTATGTTCACTCTGCCCTGTGGCTTCAGAAATGGCTGTCCTTATTGTGTATTACTGTATTGTGTATTGTGTATTATAGTTGTGTATTACTGTGGCTGCAGGAAATTGCCACTGTGCATGGTGTGCCAGCAAGACTCTAGTACCCTAACCTAAAGGCCTTTGTTTTCTTGGCAGGTGGAGTTTGAGGATGGCTCACAGCTTGTGGTTAAGAGAGATGACGTGTACACACTGGATGAAGAGCTTCCCAAGAGAGTCAAGTCTAGATTGGTGAGGATGTGTTCTGTGTGCTCTTGGTCCTGTCTGGGAGGGAAAGGGTACATAGCAAGGGTGTGTCCTTTGGAGTTTTTTGGTTCACCTGGCCACAAAGTGACAGTTTGGCTTGGCTCTTCTACAGTCAGTAGCTTCAGACATGCGCTTCAATGAGATTTTCACAGAGAAGGAAGTTAAGCAAGAAAAGAAGCGACAACGGGTCATCAACTCAAGATACCGGGAAGATTATATTGAGCCTGCGCTGTACCGGGCCATTATGGAGTAGATGCTTCCAAGTCCGAAGAGGTTCCTAGCCATCAAGGCAAGAGCACTCTAGGGTTCCACAGCACAGCAGACACTTGGAACTCAGAAGTCTATAAAAGTGAAGATGTACAAAGAAAAGGAATGAAATGCCCGACCCCGTCACCACCTCATCCTGCCTTCATCAGATTTGGCCATAATGAAAAGACAAACTATTTGGGGACACTTGGCAGCAGCTGCTGATCTTCAGCTGAGGGGCTGACACTGGAATGCTGTGACTGCATTGGCCTCCGGTCCAAATAGGGGTCAGTTGTGCCTGCTGGGCTGGTTACTCTGATCCTGGCCTAGGACATAGCTTCCTACCAACCACCAGCACCAGCCAGGCAGATGTGCTGGTGCTTGATCTGACCCTCTTTTGTATTTATGTGTGTGCGCGCGAGGTTGTGTGCGTGTGCGCGTGCATGTGTGCAAATGTGTGTATGCTTGGTCTGGACCAGCTTCTGCCAGCTCCTGGCCTTCACTTTCTTCATTGCCTCTGCAGGGCAAACAAAATGTGAAATTCTGCCCTCAGCTGAGCTGAGTAAGAAGCTTGGGGGATGACTAGAGGTGGGTGTGCCATCTGTCCTGACCTGGACCGATTTCAAGAGAGTACTGGCAAAGCTGCAGTATTGAGATGCTAAAGAGCTGGTTGCCACCTCTTTGTTCTCACTTGAAGGAGAACTTGGAGGACACAATAGTGTGTGCCTACAACTCTAGGCACAGAGCCTCTGTGGCGCAGTATTAGAAGGTGTAGGTGGGGACTACCTTGAAGGGAGAATTTTAATGATGGAAACAGGCAGTGCCTGGTGGGTGATTTTTTTTTTTTTTTTTTTTTGTCCAGAGAAAACTGCAGTTATTCAGGGGGCTATGGGAGTAGGATGAACTGGGGCCACGGGAAGGGGTGGGAGGGCCTATTGAGGGTGGGGGGTGGGACTAGAGGGCAACACTGAGGGGGTTAAACAGGTTTTTGCTCCTCTTGAATTTGTTTGCCTGGGCCCAGTATTGGAGGGCTTCACACCTTACTTTATGTATAAAGGAATCAGATTTATAATACTTCCCCCTTTTTTGTTAACGTATGAACGCTATAAACCAAATTATTTTGAAAACTGGTGCATTACCTTGTCCTTAGCAATAAACTGTGTTGAGCAGAGGATTGACTGTGGTCTGCCCCATGGAGCCTAAGTGGCCCAGGGTCAGGCTGGGGATGTATCCATAGTCAGGCTGTGGAGCAGGGTCTGGGACACTAATCCAAAGGGGTGGGTGCCTTCTTTGTCTGGTTCTGTAGTAGACCAAGTGCAGTGGCCCAAAAGCATCCAGGGTCTTGTGGCTTTCAGTGCCTCTTTTTGCTTCTCCTGCCACGGAGATGAACCAAGAGGAGGTAACAGAAACTACGGAGTCTTCTCAACAGAACTTGATACCATATTTGAACTCCATTTGTTGTCTTCACTATCTTGGGCCAAGTTAGTGTCAGCATCTGTATTCCATACACATTGTGGAACCAGGAGGGTTTTAGGTGCTTGAAGAACAGGAGACCTTCCCGGGACTGTGGAGTATAGGAGCTGCCCTCGGAGCTGCCTGTATGTGTTGAGATGCTTCCCTGGAAGGAAGACCCAGTTATTGGTGCAGCGGGTCCCTGAGGACTGAGTGGACGAGGTGGGTGAGCCTTGGGGCAACTGCTAGGTGAAATACATGCAGGGCTTCCGTTCAGCAGAGCTGCTGCAGCTGGCCCTAGACAGCTGTGTGCTCCTTGTGGCTGACCCTGTCCAGGTGCAGAAACTGCTACTCAATGCTTCTTTGTGTGCCTTGGGCTTGGGAAGTGGATGCTGCTTGGTATTGGTTGTTGGGGGAAGGGAGAAGCAAGGCGTTTCAAAGATACTTTTCAAAGCCAACTCTCTTAGAGCCAAGGAAAGGAAGTTGACCTTTTTGCCCTTGACTGAAGGACTGGGATGTGGCTGGGCAAACCAGGTAGAGCCAGGCTTTCCTGGAAAGGTGAGTGGGACCTAGAAGCGCACATCTTTAGAGAGGAGGAAAACACCATCTTTCCCCACAGGGCCCATGTGCCCTACCTCCCCACTGCTCTCACTGTCTCAGGCCTTGCTGCAGAGCTGGGTGCTGTAATCCAAGAAGGTAACTGGGATTAGGGAACTGGAGGCTGAACCTGAATCCTCTAGGCAAGTGCTCCATCACTTAGCTATGTCCACCATAAGGGGGGGTGCACTCAGTTGCCCATCCTGGCCTTGAACTTGCCCTCCTGCCTCAGCCTCTAGAGTAGTTGAGATTACAGGCCAGCACCAACAGGCTTGCCAAAGTCAGCCCTTTAAAAAGGGCATGTGTAATAACCATGAAGAAACTAGCTCAAAGAAGTGGTAGGACTTTCCCAGATCTCCCAAAACTGGCCTGTGGTTTTGTTTCTTCTTGTGCTGGGGACTGCCCAGGCCCTTCAGCATGCTACACTTGGCTCTCTTTGTCCCTTGAGCAGTCAGGTCTGGGCCTCAAGACCGACCCCAGTCAAAGGCTGCATTTAATGCCTTCATTAAGCAGGTTCCCCGTAGCAGCTTTTTGCCAGGGCAAAACACCTTCCCATAGAGTTAGAGTCTTTGGGTTGGCCTTCAAGAATAACAGGTTAAAAGCCCTTACCCTCTTGGGGAAGAGAGGGAATTCACGCACAAATTATGTTTTAGGTGGGCTGCACCAGCTCGGGATGAGGGCGAGACCGCCTGAACTGCTAGGTATGTGTGTGTGGGGGCAGGGTGGCCCAACTGAGACATTATTGCAAAGCTCCGAAGTTGGTAATGATAGCCGCTTGGACTTCAGACCGCCTACCCAAGAGTGGGAGCGGTGTGCAGAGCGGGAGGAGTGTGGGCACTTTGCGTTCGGTGAGGAACCAAGCTGGAGAGGGGCCGGAGACTGAGCCCGTCCGACTCCACCCTATGGAAGGCCGACAGGACCGAGCCACGCTGCACCTGCAGGCCAGGCCGCTACACCCGCGGCAGCTCACGCGGCGATTCTTTGCTGCACCGGAACCCCGCAGCCGAGATTCCTGCAGCCCGGGTCCCCGCAGTCCTGGTGCCAGCAGCACCCCCACCCCCAAGCCCCGGTTAGCGGATTCTGCAGTCCCGATCCCCGCAGCCCCAGTTCCTGCAGTCCTGGTGCCCGCACCCCGCTACAGCCCGGGTTCCGGCAGCCTGGTCCCCGCATCCCGGGTTCCTACAGTCCAGGTCCTCGTATCCCGGGGGGCGCGGTGGGAGAGCCGGGAACTCGCATCTCCCGCTTCCATTGGGCAGTCCTGACCCGGACCCGCCCCGCCTCTGCGGCGCAGCCCCGCATTGGTCGGCCCGGCGCCCCGCCCGGCTCCCGCGTGCCCATTGGCCGCGGATGCCCGACCCCCGGCGAGGCTGCCGAGGCGAAGAGCGGGATTGGTGGTCCCCCCGACCCGGCTCGGGGCCGAGCGCTCCGCCC